CTTTGCGGTCTTGGTCTTGTATCGAACTCGACCGTGTTTGGACTCTGTCTCGAATGCGTTTGGACTCGGTCTCGTCTCTGTCTTGAAGGCGGTTGGACTCGGTCTTCCGTCTCGAAGGTGCTCAGACTCGGTCTTGTCTCGGTCTTGATGGTGCTTGGTCTCGGTCTTGTCTCAGTCTCATCTCGGTCTTGAAGGCGCTCAAACTCGGTCTCGTCTCGGTCTTGAAGGCACTCGGACTCGGTCTTGTCTTTGTCTCGAAGGTGCTTGGACTCGGTCTTGTCTCGGTCTTGAAGTCGCTCTGACTCGGTCTCGTCTCGGTCTCGAAGGAACTTGGACTTGGTCTTGTCTCGGTCTCGAAGGCGCTTGGACTCGGTCTTGTCTTGGTCTCGAGGTCTGATACTTGACGAGTGATAAAATGGAGACAGATTTATAAAAACCTTTGTATATTTGTGCTAAAATAACACTAAAATACAAATAAATGTAAAAAATGACAAAGACGGTCTCGATTTGGTCTTGGTCTCGTCTCGTACAATGCCTAAGGAAGCTGAGGAGTAACTTTGAACCACTGCAAACCGTTTTAAATAAATAATTTGGTTTAATATTATTTTCAGGACTTTTTTAAAAACAAAAATCAGGTTCTATTTGAAAAAAACAAAAACAAAACTCAAAACTGTTCAAATGTGTCTGTAAATGTCTCATTTGAGGTTTAAAATGTGTAAGTTTCAATGTTATTTCTTTGTCTGGAATGTCCCACAGTGTGGCATTAAACCTTTTTATCTTCACGGAGACCAAACCAGACCAAGTTACATATCAGATCTGTGGAGAGGCAACGTCGCTCTGTCAGAACGTCTGTTTTTCGAGGCATTTTTGAGCTTCAAAACCACCTGTGATTAAATAAACGTAAAGCAGAGCCGTTTAAAGTCACACTGCGGAACATTCCAGGCAGAGCGATGGCGTATCCATGGAAACAAGCAGGCGACGGACCCCCAGCTGAAAACGTACACAGCGCATTTGTTTTCTAAAACTGTTCCTGAAATGTTAAGGTTAAATATTCCAAATTACATCTTGGAAATTAATATTATCATGAATTCATATTAACTCCACGGTTAATACATGTAATATAAAAAACAATTTTATTTTATACATCAATAAAATTAGCTTAAGTATATATATATATATATATAAAAAAAAGAACACTGTACAAACTTAAAACTTAAATCAAAAGTTAAACATTTTAAATTGAACTACAGTAAAAATGTGGTGGGATAAACTCTGTTAGTCTTGTTGTGTTGCATTGTGGGAAACGGAGTCCTGCTCTGAGCCGCCGGACTTTATCAAACCCCCGAAATACGCCGTGATGGTTTTCAGTTTGTTATTGAGAAAGTTCTGCTCCACCTCCACTCGACCCCCGGGACCGGCCAAAGACGCGATCTGGAAAATAAACACACAAAAAAAATACAAGTTTAATCCGACTTTTATTAGAATATAAAGACCTGGACTTGTGTTTTGTTTGAAATTCAGGAAAAGTTTGTGAGATTTGTGAAGTACAGACCTGGTCCATGTCGGCGTTCCGAGGCAGGAAATACACGATGTTGTCAGAAATGAGTTTGGCCTTTCGGAAAATCTCGAATGTGACAAAGAGTTAAGGAAAAAAAAAGAGGAGGAGGAGAACAGGAGAGGAGGAGAAGTCGTGTCTTTCCTCTCGCTCCTCAGATCAGAAGGACCAGAAACGCATCGTCGCCCAAATCAAACTCTGCGGGTGAGCGCCGTGGCTTCTCTCTCGTTTAGTCAGATCATAAAAAACATCAAATTTTTGCCCCATTTTCCGTGATGTCGTTGCTCCTTTGTGCTCGCGGTGACTCTGAGAAGGCCGGAGCAAAACTTCAGGCCTGAGTTTGTCTTTGGTCAGACTCAGGATTATTTTTGTCATGGAACGAGTTGAGGTTTAAACTGGAGATGGAGTTTCAGCTCAGGATTTCAGGATAAACCTGGACTTGTGAAGTGACTTCGATGGAACAGCTCCTAGAGCAGCTGTTTATACTCGACACGAGGTCCAGATTCATATAAAACTCTTGTCCCTGGCCTGAAAAACACTGAAGACTCCTGACGAGGCTACGTTTACACACAGCCGGGTATTTTGACAAACGAATATTTCCCTTTCCCGATGTAAACAATATTTTTGTTTACATCGACCTGCATAAATCCTCCATCGAGCTCCGTCAGAACTACACCGAGCCTCTGGGCGCAGCTGGATCAGATTCAAACCTGTAGAGTTATTACACTTGTAAGTATGACTCAAAAATAGCTTGTAAAACGTGTATTAGTGAGCAGGCTCGCCTCTCCACAGATCTGTTAAAGAAGTGGCAACATCACTGACCTCTCAGCCCTTGTTCATCTCTGCTCATGGATATGAAACATCAGCTGTGTGTAAATGCAAACACATGAAAACCAGAAGAAATAGATGAGCTGAAGCGGGGGTTAGTGTCCGGTGCCTCCACCTGAGAAGCGCTTCTGTCCGGATGCTTTGCACCACATCAGAACCAGCCGCGGTCAAGCGCGCAGGACCGGAGCAGCCCGGACCTGTGGTCCACAGCACATTCTCACTTTTCCTGCACAGATGCTGACATTGAAGCACTTGGACCCAGTCCTTTGAGGGCTGGTCTTGCTCGCCCCCGTCTGGAACCAGAACATGGAGGATGGAGCCTCCGGATGGATCTGACAAACACTGGACCCCCAGCCCCGTCTTGAGGGGCTGAGTTACAGACACTGCTCCCGTGTGTTTAGCGCTGTCGCCCGAACTCAGAGCTTCTGCTCTGGGCTGATGTGGGGTGAGTTTGTACAAAGTTCTAGGCTCATGCTGCTGTTTTATGAGTTCATGGTGATAAGTTGAGATGAGGACGCGGTGTTAATGGGGAACATAAATTCCTTTCGCAATTGGAGGAACATTGGGAACATCGGTCTGACCCTGTCCAGGTCCGTATGGGATGGCATCTGGACATATATATATATATATATATATATATATATATATATATATATATATATATATATCTCGTGTCGGACCCCCCATGATGTGGGGTCGACACCCCCGATTAACCCATCACACCGCCTAGCGTGATGGGTTAATCAGGGGTGTCGGACCCCCACATCAGAGCAAAAAGGTAAACATTGGTCGCACTGTCGGCGCGTCAGCTCCTAAAACTCAGTTTATCTCTCTTTACACACAAACGTGAGGCGAAGTCACCGTTTGTGTGTAAAAGATGAGCACAAACAAAGGGAAATGTCTCTGTTTTTAAAAATACCCGTGTAAGTGTAAACGGGGCCTTAAAGTCATCAAAATGTCGCCTGTAACAGGAAACTGAAAGCTCGTCATTAGAGGAACACGGGGACATGGGAGGGCATCTGACACATTTGAAGGATATCCGTCGAGTTCCATCATGGTCTGGATGTCGAAGACGTCGGCGCTCAGGTAGGCGGGGCCTCCCCAGGGCGGGGACAGGAAGACCACGTCGCCACGGAGACGGGGGGCGAGCTGCAGGAAGTCGCCCTGAATGAAGTCGACACGCTCCGCCACGCCGTACACCGCCGCGTTGTGACGAGCCAGATCTATGCGCACGGGGTCAATGTCCACGGCAACAACTGGAGAGAGAAGAGGAGGAGGAGGAGTAGAGTGTAGTAGTAGTAGTAGTAGTAGTAGTAGTAGTAGTAGTAGTACAAGTAGTAGTAATAGAAGTAGAAGTAGAAGTAGTAGTAGTAGTAGTAGTAGTAGTAGTAGTAGTAGTAGTAGAAGTAGAAGTAGTAGTAGCAATAGAAGTAGTTAGTAGAAGTAGTAGTAATAGAAGTAGTATAGTAGTAGTAGTAGTATAGTAGTAGTAGTAGTAGAAGTAGTAGTAGTATAGTAGTAGTATTTGTAGTAGTAGTAGTAGTAGTAGTAGTAGTTGTAGTTGTAGTAGTAGTAGTAGTAGCAATAGTAGCAGCAATAGAAGTAGTAGAAGTAGTAGTAATAGAAGTAGTAGTAATAGAAGTAGTAGTAGTAGTAGTAGTAGTAGTAGTAGTTGTAGTTGTAGTTGTAGTAGTAGTAGTAGCAGCTCCTCATGTATTAAAGCAGTGTGTGTACTTGTATTTGGAGAAGAGTTTTGCTGCCATCTACAGGCCGAGACAAGAACTGAACAGCAGATTCTGAACTCAGAGGAAAAGCAGCAGCAGCAGTAGATATAGAAGTAGTATTTGTAGAAACAGTAGTAGTAGTAGTATTTGTAGTATTAGTAGTAGCAGTAGCAATAGAAGTAGTAGTAGTAGTAGTAGTAGTAACAGTAGTATTTGTAGTAACAGTAGTAGTAGTAGTATTAGTAGTAACAGTAGTAGTATTAGTAGTAGTAGTATTTATAGTAACAGTAGTATTTGTAGTAACAGTAGTAGTAGTAGTATTTGTAGTAACAGTAGTAATAGTAGTATTAGTATTTGTAGTAACAGTAGTAGTAGTTGTATTTGTAGTAACAGTAGTGTTTGTAGTATTAGTAGTAGTAGTATTTGTATTATTAGTAGTAGTAGTATTTGTAGTATTAGTAGTAGTAGTATTTGTAGTATTAGTAGTAGTAGTATTTGTAGTATTAGTAGTAGTAGTATTTGTATTATTAGTAGTAGTAGTATTTGTAGTATTAGTAGTAGTAGTATTTGTAGTAACAGTTGTATTTGTAGTAACAGTAGTATTTGTTGTAGTAGTAGTAGTAGTAGTATTTGTAGTAACAGTAGTATTAGTAGTAGTAGTAGTATTTGTAGTACTTGTCTTGTGTGTACCTCTGTTTCCGCTCAGGGCGAACTGGATGGCGTTTCCTCCGACTCCACAGAAAGCGTCGACGACGAGACGAGACGAAGGAAAACTGCTCCAGACTCGAACGGCGATGTGCTCCGCGATCCGCTCCGGAGTCACGGAAAACCAGCCCTCTGAAACCGGATCAGAACCATCAGAACCAGAACCAGCCCTCTAAAACCGGATCAGAACCATTAAAAGGAAGTGTGTGGTACCATTTAGACCTGGTTTAGACCTAGTTTAAACCTGGAATAGTACTCGCTTAGACCTGGTTTAGATCCGGAATAGTCGTGTTTTATTCCTAGTTTAGACCTGGAATAGTTCTGTTATAGACCTAGTTTAGATCTGGAATAGTCCTGCTTTATCCCTAGCTTAGACCTGGTTTAGACCTGTTGTAGACCTGGTTTAGACCTGGAAGAGTCCTGGAGTAGTCCTATTTTAGACCTGCCTTAGACCTGGAATAGTCCTGGTTTAGACCTAGTTTAGATCTGGTATAGTCCTGTTTCAGATCTAGAATCGTCCTGGTTTAGACTTGGAATAGTCCTGCTTTAACCCTAGATTATCCCGAGTTTAGACCTGGCTTAGACCTGGAATAGTCCTGTTTTAGCTCTGGTTCAGACCTGTTTTAGCCCTAATTTAGATCCGGAATAGTCCTGTTTTAGATCTGCAATAGTCCTGTTTTAGCTCTAGTTTAGACCTCGAATAGTCCTGTTTTAGACCTGGTTTAGACCTAGTTTAGACCTCGAATAGTCCTGTTTTAGACCTGGTTTAGACCTAGTTTAGACCTCGAATAGTCCTGTTTTAGACCTGGTTTAGACCTAGTTTAGACCTCGAATAGTCCTGTTTTAGACCTGGTTTAGACCTAGTTTAGACCGTAATAGTCCTGGTTTAAATCTGGTGGCACTCAGAAGGTGAAATCTTTTCTTGGGTGATATTTGTTGTAAACATTTGAGGACTCCTGGTCTAAAACCTGATCCGTGTTTGTGTTTCGATCTCGTTTCCACGGGGACAGTCTGACCTCTGTCGAGCCGGACGCCCTGGTCGAAGCGCGAGAACAGCCGGTGTCTCTGGGCCCAGTATTTGGCCAGCTCCGGTTCGGCCGCCACCTCCTCCGGCACCGGCTCTGCCCTCCTCTGCTTCCCCCTCCTCTTCCTCTGAGGGCAGGCGGCGCCGTCTGCACTCGCGCCTGGAACACAAACACACAAACAAAAACACGAACACGATTTATTCAGTACAAAAATCCATCTGTGTCCGTGCGCTGTGGACGTCAGAGTGTCAGTCTGACCTGAGGCAGAAGCCCTTTAAGAACATAAAATATAACAAACAAACCAAATCCATCTGAAATTCACTAAGTATTAAATGAAACAATAAAAATTAGGGTTGTCCTGATCTGATCATGTGACTGCGGACTCGATCCAGACTCGGGCATTATGGTCCGATCACGTATCAGATAAACAATACACATATATAACACACAGGACACACAGCACATAACGGTTTTTCTGAGGCGCGGGACTTGCTCAGGGACGTCCAGTCAGCGCGTCTGTCTGTCCCAGCGCCTGTTGTACTGGAGCAGTGGTCCCCAACCTGTAGATCGACATCAACAATTTGATCTTTGCCGTGTCCCCGGTAGATCTCCAGCTGAATTCAACAATTTGTGATACTAGATGTGCATTGTAAGTGAGCGCTTACTTTGGTTTAACTTATCTGCGTGAGGTGGTCTTTTCACAAATGAAAATCAACAAATCCAAGCACAGAAACAGTCTGAGCGAGAGGCACCTCACAGATTGTCTCAGTTTAGCTGTTTGCAACTATAAACCAAACTTCAAAACATTATCCAAGGAAATTCAGATTCACCCATCACCCCGAGTTTGATAATAATAGAACTTCTCTCATTGACCCTTAATGCTGTTTAGTGATCAAATTTGCACTATTTTGGTTGCTTTCACTGCATTTGGTTTGCATTTTGTTTGTATTGCAAGTTAGGGACGGGCATTCGATGAAACTTTCTTAATCGATCGTCGGAAGAATTAACGATCGATTATCGATTAATCATTAACGTTTTTATATTAAAATGATCATCATTATTATTACTATCTGCACTAATCTGCATAAATAAATTCAACTTTACGACATATAAACATAACGACTCTAGAGCCACATCAGCTGTTTGACATTATAATGTGTTTAATTCAGTTTTGTTCAAATCTCACAGAAACGAAACTTAAAACCACATCACTAATTTACATAAACTCAGTGAAGATAAAACTCCAGCTCTTGTGTCACTGATGCGATCAATTTCTGTCGGATTAAAAGACATGACTCAGGTGAATACAGGTTAATGTGACCAGATTTGTGTTTGTCAAAACCAGGACAGCGTACGGGGGGAGGGGGGCGGGGCCTCGTCATCCACATTGAGCGATTCTCACCTGGTAAAGCTTTTTCCCACTGGACACAGAAACATATGTGCTGCTTTATACACTGTGCACATGGACTCACACTTGTCCCGAACGCAACGGAAAGCGTGGAATTTCTTGTACAAATCATTGTTAAATACACATTTGTGCTTCGGTTCGTTACAGACTGACCCACTGTTTGTGTCTCGCTCCTTCTGATGCAGAGACACATGTACACACCTGTTTGGTCACGATACACACAGCAACATACATTCGGTTTGTCGATTAAAATTAACGTATTCAATGAAATTCTTAATGTTCAATTATCGATTAATCAATTAATCATGCCCATCCCTAATTGCAGTTACACATTTTTTCTTGCAGAGAGTGTTTTGGTCCCCATTCTATAATGAGTGTTCTTTAAGTTACAAGATTGCAAAAATAAAGCTGTCTGGAACTATAAACACGATCACTTTTGTTGTTGTTATTTACGTCCATGTTGGTAGATCTTGCTCTTTTCTCGGACCAAGTATGTAGATCTTTGTCTGAAAAAGGTTGGTGACCACTGTACTAGAGACACTCGCGCTGGGACTTCTGGGTCGTGTCGTGCTCGGGCGCTGTTACCTGTGGTTCTGTGGCCCGTGTTCACACCTGCGTCATCGCTCAGAGCTGTTTGTTGCAAACAAAACACAAAGCGCTGTTGAGGGAGAGTGTCCGTCCAGTGGCACGAAGCGTCTATTGAGCGGTGGGACTGATGTTGCGGTGCTCTGCTGTGAGTTTGTGGAGGTGGCGGCGGTGCGGGGGACAGGGGCTGTGGAGCTTCGGTCATCTTGTTTTTATTTGGTAAAATTTTGTACTATTTGGATCATAGACGAGCCTAAATATTTCAAATATAACATGCAAACATATAATATCAAATAAAAAAAAAATGTAGATTGTGCAGAGTCGAGTCTCAGGTCTGATCTGGTTCTGGTCTGGTTCCTGTTTGGTCCAGTTCATTAAGTTTACTAAGTTACACATTCCAAGACCAAACTGTGGTAAAAGTAAAGATTTTCAACAAGGATGATGAATGGTGAGAAAAGTTAATAATAAAAAAAAAAAGTTTTGGACAGCCCAAACTAGGGATGGGCATGATTAGTCAATTAATCGATAATTGATCATTAAGAATTTCATCGATTACGTAAATTTTTATCGACAAACCGAATGCAGGTTGCTGTGTGTAGCGTGACCAAACAGGTGTCCGTACAAGTAGCTCTCTGCACTCAGAAGGAGCGAGCAAACACAGTCAGTCCGCCTGTAACGTACCGAAGTGCATATGCGTATTTAACAATGATTTGTACAAGAAATTCCACACTTTCAGTTCCGGTCGGGACAAGTGTGAGTCCATGTGCACAGTGAACAAAGCAGCACATATGTTTCTGTGTCCAGTGGGAAAAAGCTTTACCAGGTGAGAGTCGCTCAATGTGGATGACGAGGCCCCGCCCCCCCTCCCCCCGTACGGTGTCCTGGTTTTGACAAACACAAATCTGGTCACACTAACTTGTATTCCACTGAGTCATGTCTTTTAATCAGACAGAAATTGAACCACATCAGCGACACAAGAGCTGTAGTTTTATCTTCGCTGAGTTTATGCAAATTAGCGATGCGGTTTTAAGTTTAGTTTCTGTGAGATTTGCGCAAAACTGAATTAAACACATTATAATAAACGGGCTGATGTGGCTCTAGAGTCGTTACGGTTTATTTGTCGTAAAGTTGAATTTATTTATGCAGATTAGGAGTGCAGATAGTAATAATAATGATGATCATTTTAATATAAAAACGTTAATGATTAATCGATAATCGATCGTTAATTCTCTCGACGATCGATTAAGAAAATTTCATCGAATGCCCATCCCTAGTCCAAACACTACACATGAAATAAACACAGTCTGATCCCCGCACACGTCCTGGATCTGATTCTTTGCTCTTCGTTCAGTTTATAATGTTTTATAGAAGTATCGGATCGGGATTCGGTATCGGCAGATTCTCAAAATCAAAGGACTCGGACTCGGGGGGCAACAAAATGTAATCGGGACATCCACAATAATAATTATGATTTAAAGTCTGTTTCCTCAGGTGTTTGGGTTTACCTTCGGGCTCTGGCAGGAGGAAGTCTGGAGTCTCCAAGCAGGGCAGAGGTCTCTTGTTCTGGGCTCGTTTCGTCTCCTCTCCGTCCTCTGCGTCTGGAACCCACAGACTGATCACCGTCCTCTCCTCCTCCAGGTTTCTCTCTCTCTCCGTCCCCTCTTCCTCTTCCTCCTCCGACACGTTCTTATCCTTCGTTAAACCCTCCTTCCTCTCTTCTGCGACGTCCACGTTTCCCGGTTCTGACGTCGCAGCTTCCGTGTTTCTCTGGATGTTCCCGAGAAAATCCTTCACCTAAAAAAAAAAAAAAAAAAAAAAGAACAATTCCTGTTATTTTTCATGCTCGTAAAGAATTAAAGGTTCACCGTGTAACCTTTCCTGCTCGTCTCCATGGAGATGCTGTTGCTTTGTTTAAAATCTAACAGATAAAACGCTTTTTCTTATTTGGAGACAAGCAGGCAACACCAGGTCACGTCTACGGAGAGGCGAGGGGTTCTGAGCAAAATTTTATCATCAATGAAAACAGCTGTAAAAGAACAGTAATAGAAAACGCGTTTAAACGAGTTTAATGCCATACTGTGGAACATTCTCGGCAAAGAAGTAACATCTCCAACTGTCTGTGTCTCCATGGGGTCTTATTCTGTATAAAAGTTGTAAAAATCCCTGTATTTTAGACTCGACTACAGACGTGTTCGCACTTTTTCAGCGCGTGAGATTCTTATAAAATGATCAAGTCCAAACGATCGACTAGAAAAATGCAAATCAATTATTTATTTATTTATAAATATACTGAGAGTCGGTCACGGTGAAACGGTGCTTGGTAGGGCTGGGTATCATTCAGAAGTTGCCGATACGACATATATTTCAAATCGATTCAGTACAGATCAATAAAAAATAATGTCTAAATCTAAACATTTTAATCGTCAAAACAGTGAAAACGAGTTTCCTTCCTCTAAACAAACAGCAAAACTGTAGCTCTGTAACAAAATAATTGAGTAAAATAAACCAAAAAAAATACTCTTGGCGATATATCGATACAGCAGCCCACGATATCAATACTGTATCATCACATTAAACGATACGATACATCGATATTTTGTATTTTGTAATTTGTCTCAAATGGTTGGACGTGTCTGAAGCCTTGGAGAAACACTGACCTCTAGTGGACAAACTGAACCATTGCAAACCAGCACACAACCCACAAAACAATAATAACACAATAATAATGATGATTTAAAATAATATGTGAAGAGCAACATAAATAACATCCTGTAAATAAGAAAATAGTGATCCCAAACCATGGATCGCTTTTTTTCCACTTGTAGACGCCATCGAAAATGAAACAAATGCCAAAAGTCGCCAAAATCACCACTAACGTCACACAATACTCTTCACTACCCAACATTTTTAAGAAATATTGGTGCATCTTTTATCCTGTAGCAGTTCAGCGCTCGTCAAACCACGGAAGTGCGCCGAACACTCTGAAGCTCTGAACCAATCGCAGAGCGGAACATTCGCCGAGCCAATGAAACGCTTCGATACACTAAAGCGATTAAGTAGGGGGAGGGACCGACACTTCAACACTTTGATCATGTGAGCGGCTGCTGCGAGACGAGCTCCGAGGCAGAGCTTCGGAGCAATTTGTTTCAGAAAGAACGAGACGTGCTCCGGAGCTCCGACTCATTTGCCCGTCACTAATATTTTGATATTTTTGGACACTCCTAAAGCTTGGACTTAATGATCTTCATGATGTGGGAAAAGGCTGACTCACATAAATAAGTTTTTTATAAATCTATCTCCATTTTATCTGATAAATGTTAATTTAAGATTAAAATAAGTCAAACTAATTGTTCTGCACTGAAACACTCTGTGCCTTTTTTTGGACCCTCACCCACAGTTTGAGAACCACTTCTTTAAGAGAACTTCCACTGGCACTTTACACAAAACTGAGAAGAAAGTGAAGAAAATGAGCAGGATTTTTACTTTTTTTTTTTTTTTTTTACAACTGTAATAAATTATGTACGGACTCGTTGAGTGTCAGACTGAGACGAGACCAAGTTCAAGCTCCTTCGAGACAAGACTGTGTCAAGACCGAGTCCTAGCGCCTTCAAGACCGAGACAAGACCGAGTCCAAGCGCCTATAAGACCGAGACAAGACCGAGTCCAAGCTCCAAGACAGAGACAAGACCGAGTCCAGTCCAGTCCGAGACTAGACCAAGACCAGTCTTGAGTACTACAACACTAAAATCTACCCGCACTCTCCTGGAGATCGACTGGTAGATCTCGATCGATGTATTGGGCGCCTTTGCTCTACAAACTCAAACGGCACTGAGGTGAGTTACATTTCTAATATAAACCGTTTTTACCTTACTGAGAGTGGAGCTCCTCTGAGAGTCGTCGTCTGAGAATCGTATGTGTGTGTTTTGTTTACGGTTTTGTTTTTTCTTCTTCTGTTGTTTCTGAAAACCCGTCGCGCTGAAAACACTGGAGAAGCTGAAAACACAGACGTACCTGTAGTTACACTTCTGTTACTTTCACGTTCTCGGTTATATCAGTCTAAACTTACACTGGGTTTGCGTTTCGTTTGAGACCCAGTTTCCTCCAGGATTCCTCGGACATGGGCTGTGGGCTTTCCTCTGCGTCCAGCTCGTGACTGAAGAGAAAACGAAAAGATTATTTTAATAGCAGACCAGAAAAGTTACTCAGTGCAGTTTTATTTGTTCTGACAGAGACTTTACACTGACCTGCGTTTGAGTTTGACCTGCGGTTTTTCTGGAGGCTCCTCTTCCTCTTCCTCAGACTTCCTCCTGGACTCACCTCTGTCCACTCCTCCTCCAGTCTGCACCGAACCTGAAGAAAACAGAAAGGATTAAGTTTAAAGTCAAAACTGCAACTTTGGACGCGTAATTTTTAGAATGCATTGAAAGTGAATGAGGGCGGCTCCACGGCGAACATGTATGATCCATCCTATCCACATATCCCCGTCAAAATACACAGAGAGCATCGACTGTTGAATTTGTGCTTTTTTACCATCAGCACAACGTGTTCCTGGGGCAGATCTGTGTCGTGTGAAAGACTTTTACTTTTGAAATCCTCGTGTTTGCCGTAGTGAGCCTGTGCAGAAGGTAAATACAAGTCTGTTCAGCTGTTAGTTTCACTGTGATTGATTGACTGCATTTATATAGCGCATTTCAAGATCCCCAAAGCGCTTTACAGTTCATTATTCAGTCACTCCACACTCAGTGGTGTAAACTACTACTGTAGCCACAGCTGCCCTGGGACAGACCGACAGACGCGAGGCTGCTAATCTGCACCATCGGCCCCTCCGACCACCACCATCACTCACGCTCACACTACTGTCATACTAGACAATGTGGGCGAAGTGTCTTGCCTAAGGACACTGTGGACCTGATACAAGCGACTAAACGCCTCAGTCGACTTTGCTCGTCTTTCCCACTGAGAAACACAGAGTCAGAGTCGCTCGTGTACGTCCTGCTGGAGCTGCAGGTGGAGCCGCCTAAAACTCATAATAAAACAGGGGTGTCCAAACTTTTTTCATCAAGGGCCACAGATCTGAACACAGATGAAGCAGAGACTGATCAACGGCCGTAGACTGATGCTCAATACTGTGAATAATTGAAATATGACTCATTCTAACATGATAAACATGCACATAAGTCTTTACTCACGCTATGATCCTTAAAACCAAACACTAAATATTAAATATTCATTTTATCTAGGCAGATGCAAGGTAATTTGGGTCAATTCAGCTGGAAGCCTGAGGGCCAAGAAAAATTGGTCTGAGGGCCACATTTGGCCCACGGGCCATAGTTTGGACATGCCTGCGTTAGGCAAACGTGTGAATGAAACAAAACACAACTCCAGGTCTGTTTTTGGACAACGTGCAACAAAGTTCTAATATCATTAAAACCTCACAAGACCTTTACAAGTATTGAAAACACATTTGGTTTATTTATGATGTTTTAGCCCAGAGGTGTCAAACATACGGCCCGGGGGCTGGATCCGGCCCTCCAAGACCTTTATTGTGGCCCTCGGCTGATTTTCTGCTAAAATATTTTACTGATATTTTCTATTAAAATCTTGTTAATTTTCTGTGGTGTTTATCACAGCAGCGTCTCCAGCGTCTCTGTACGTGGCCCCTCCCACCAGAGCAGCACAAATGAAGACTTGTCTCTTTCCAAACGCTCTTAAAGGACGATCGTTTTGACTGTTGACCGTGACACCCTCATCAGAAAAATGTCCAACATGAGAAAAGTGGAGCCGAGTGCAGGATTTTACAACAAAAATTGACTTATTCCTGTTTACAAACAAGCTCATGTTAAAACTTTGTGTTGAAATTGTATTTTTCTTAAAGTTTCAGGCTGTTCATAATATTATAATATTTAGTAAAAGAAAGAGTTCATCAATTAAAAAAGATTTCTGTAATAGATTTGTGTTTCTCTGCACAAATATTTGAACATATTGTTATTTTCGGGGTTTATATGTCATGAATTTTCTGATCCGGCCCCTTTGGGATCAGAGGTTTAGTCACTGTACCTGTTCGTTCCTCTGAGTTGCTCTGATGACCGTCTGAGGGTTTTTTATCATCTGTTCCTCCTTCGCTCGGCTCTGCTCTCTCTCCTCCTCCATTTTTCACAAACTCATTTTTAAAGTCCATGTTTTGCTCGTCTCCTGGTGTTTTTAAAGTGCAAAAATGGTTAAACTCTTCCGTTAATCCCTCCGTCTCCTCTCCTCCTCCCTGCTCCCCTCCTCCGTGCTCTGAGCCCACGGTCCAGCCCTGCTCCGTCCAGTAGTAGAACTGCTCCTGGTAGTAGTAGTAGGTCTCCTGGTAGTGCAGGTCCCAGGAGGTCTTCAGGTCCGGGTTGACCCACGGAGGGTCCAGGTCCGGTTCAGATCCAAAGTCCGGATTCTTCTCCAACCAGTGAGTCCAGAGCAAAGACTCCCCCTGTTCAGCTGAAGAGAAGAGAGCAGAGTCAGACTTACAAGTGCACAGGACAGGTTTTGATAATTCTCCATTTTTCTACTTTATTTGGTGGGATAATTTCTGCTGTAAATATAAATTATAATTTTACACCAATCAAGATGCAATTTGTGAAGAAAAGTAAAAAAATAGGTTTAAAAATTACAGAGAGAGTTCAAAAACACACTCATGACATCACAGAAGGGAGAATCATATGCAAAAGTTCGACACAGCTCGTATTTAAAGCTGCACTGGGTAACTTTTTCTGGTGGTTGTGCCATTGCTCTGCCTGGAATGTTCCACAGTGTGACATTAAACAGCTCTACCTCACGTTTATCCAACTACAGGTGGTTTTAAAGCTCAAAAATACGCGGGTTCTCTCCACAGATCTGACCTGTAACTTGGTCCGGTTTTGCTTTCCATGAAGACAGAAAGGTTTAATGCCATATTGTGAAACATTCCAGACAAAGGAATAACGTCTCCATGGAGAAAAGCATCTGACGGACCCTCCACTAGAAAAGTTACACACCGCAGCTTTAAAGCGGCTGATAAATTTAGTATGTTTAAAAGAAACTTGATTTTTTAAATGTACCGTTAGTTTTATTAGTGGAATTTTCATAATAAATAAACATAAAAAACATAAAATAAATAATCCACAAATTTGTATCATGTATAATATTGGTGACCAGTGTCGGGAAGGTGACTTTTAAAATGTAATCCCCTACAGATTACAGATTACATACACCAAAATGTAGTTTGTAACGTAATCCATTAAATTACTTAAAGTGAGTAATGTAATCTGAATACTTTGGATTACTTGATATTGTCATGTTTTTTTAAAACTACATGAATGTACCAACCACATCCTGAAAATTTTTGTTTTTTTAGACCTAGTTTAGTCTTTAGTGCTGGTTTAGTCGTGGTTCAGTCCTGGTTTAATCTTTAGTTCTGGGTTAGTCCTCCTTTAGTCCTGGTTTAATCCGGTTTTAGTCCGGGTTTTAGTCCGGGTTTTAGTCCGGGTTTTAGTCCTGGTTTAGACCTGGTTTAGACCTGGTTTAGACCTGGTTTTAGTCCTGGTTTTAGTCCTGGTTTTAGTCCTGGTTTCAGTCCTGGTTTTAGTCCTGGTTTCAGTCCTGGTTTCAGTCCTGGTTTCAGTCCTGGTTTCAGTCCTGGTTTTAGTCCTGGTTTTAGTCCTAGTCCTGTTTTTAGTCCTGGTTTTAGTCCTGGTTTTAGTCCTGGTTTTAGTTTAGTCCTGGTTTTAGTCCTGGTTTTTAGTCCTGGTTTTAGACCTGGTTTTAGTCCTGGTTTTAGTCTTAGTTTAGTTTAGTCCTGGTTTTAGTCTTGGGTTTAGTCCTGGTTTTAGTTTAGTCCTGGTTTTAGTCTTGGTTTTAGTCCTGGTTTAGTCTTAGTTTAGTCCTGGTTTTAGTCCTGGATTTGTCCTGGTTTTGGTCCTGGTTTTAGTCCTGGTTTAGACCTGGTTTTAGACCTGGTTTTAGACTGGTTTTAGACCTGGTTTTAGACCTGGTTTTAGTCTTGGTTTAGTCCTAGTTTTAGTTCTGGTTTAACCCAAAATGTGAAAATAGGTAAATACCTCTGTGTAATCCATTTATTTCAACAAAGTAACTGTAATCCAATTACCACTCACTGAAACAGTAACTGTAACTGAATAGTTACTCATCATTTGTACTCTGATTACTCCGGTACATGTAATCTGTTACTCCCCAACACTATTGGTGACATGGACCAACGTCCTACAACACAAACAAATGTTCTACTCCCCGTTTTTTTAAAATAAAAAATAAAATAGTTTCTTACCCCAGTACTTCTGCCACTCGTCGTCTTTTGTGTCCGTGTTTGTTTTCTCCACAGGTTCAGGCTCCTCCTCTTCTACATCTGTGACAACGTAATGCTCCGTTATAACACAGTATTCACATTTTATCGTTTTGAGAATTAAATACTTGCCCCAAAACAACTAATTAACACGAGTCACTCCCCCTTCAGAGCGCCGTCACGACACAATCACAAACGATAAAAACGACCGCACATCGCAGGTTTGTCACGTTGCTGTGCGCCGTTTTGCATCACGCTTTTGTATGTTTACGGAGAATTGTCGTGCGGGAGCGTTGTGGGCGGAGCCTCGTGCAGAAACTTAAATCTAACCGTAAAGAGGGTTGGAATAGAGCTCAGGAGGGATCACTAAATTACTCAAAGATGCATGGTTGACTCTAAAAACTCTTCAGGCAGTTTTTTGAGTAGGGAACAACGTTAAAATCTGGCAAAAAAAAAAAAGTCAAATTTGCGTAACAGCTCCTCTTTAAAGATAAAGCGCGGTGTAAAGGTGCACTATGTAACTTTTCTGCCAGGTTACAAGTCAGATCAGTGCAGCGGCGACTAAGTCTGTGCAGTTAATCGAAGTTTGATCACGATTTTGATTTGTGCGTCAAACGATTTCCAAACTCATATCATCGAGTTGAAATGATAAAGCTTAACAAAGTTTAATTTGGGATATTTTTCATATAAATACGTATATTTATTTATTTATTTTTTTTAATATAGAGATTGTAGAACAGCTGGATGTATAGTTTATTTTGGACACATTTATGTTTTTCTGCCTTATTTCCTGTTCAAAGTTTTTTATTTTTTTTATTTTATGTTTTATACATCGCAAAACTGCACTAAGGTTCATATTTGTAGCCTGAATTTATTTTCAGTGTGAAAGTTTTGCGTAAATTATCAACAACAGTGTTTTTTTTTAGAGAGAAATGCTGAATAAACGCATCGTGTAACTAAAAAAATAATCGTTTGAATAATCCTGATTTCAATATTGACCAAAATAATCGTGATGATGTTTTTTTCCATAATCGAGCAGCAATGAAACACCTGCAAAATAATTACTGCAAGATATGTAATTTAATGCCCCTCTGTGAAACATTTCAGGCCAAGGAATAATATTTCCAAGGAGACAAGCAGGTAGAAAAGTGATATAGTGCACATTTATAACAGTATTAATAAAGTGAAAGTGTTTTGAAGATTTAGTTTCAATTTAGGGCTGTCAAAAGTATCGAGATCAGACACTTATCGATACTAAAACCAGAATCGAAACCGAAACTTGAAGATCCTAATTTTTCGCAGGTGTCGATACTAAAAAAAATCCCATTGACAGGACAGAAATGAAACTTTCCTGAATGTGTTTAACATGGTAGAAAGTTCAAAAAAGTCGATAATATTCCCTCTTTAAAGGTTGTTTGGAGGATTGTCCAAGGAAAGAGAAATAAGTGACTGTTTTTCCTTTTTCAACTGTTGTACGCCTCCTCCCGCCGCCTCTTTACTCTAGAAATCACGCTTGTTTACAGCCGCTGCGTGTTCAGAATACAAGCATCACGAATTTTGGACTTTGGGTCATCTCGCAATCCATACTGGGAAGGATCCTCCGAAAAAGTGAGCATCAAACCTCCATGTTTTTGTTTTCCCAGTGGGATGCGTCTATTGTCAAAGTCGATCTTTTCAAGTCTTTTGAACCATATCACTTTTGTTTCTGGTTGTGATATTGTCATATTTTAGTTTTGGGATTCGGACATCGCAATTGTGTGGTTGTTGGATCCTAACAGCGGAAATGGTTATGAATTTAAAAAGTCAACGCCAAAGTGAAAGGCTCCAACTGTTCACCAAGAAACACCTTCCACTGCAAAGAGACCAAGACGTGATGTTTCTGTAAAACCACAAGAACAAGAAAGTGCAGCTCAGTCTGTTTGTCTTCTGCTCCTCTCCATTAACAAACGGGATTTTGATTTGTCGTTGCTCCACATACAAAACGTTCGCTGCAAACTCGGGATGATTTAGGCAGCCAAATGTTTCCTTTTTGGTTCTTCCTGTGGATCAATCCTGTCCATCGCCTTCGCCTTTCACTATTTTTCATTCCGTTGGGAAGAGAAACAGTTTGAACTAAGGTTTGCAGTCACACACATCTGATTCACTTTCGCACTGATGGAGTTTGCAAACTTCCGAAGCCCGTTTTCCGCTGTTAGGATCCAACAACCACACAATTACGATGTCCAAATCCCAAAACTAAAATATTTACTATATATACTATATAAGAGGCAGAATAACAGGAAATGTCACCTAAATGAACCCAATTTCAAATGAATTTGCATCACGGAACTTTTCACGCATCTTTTTGAAGTATCTAGCTGCAGCCTTTTCCTTTTTAGTCATTCGATCTCTCATTCTCTCCAGTTTCTGAATCTTCTCTTCATCTCCCCTCTCCTTCATCTTCTCAATGAGAAACTCCAGATGGATGAAGGTGGACACAGAGTCCACGTTCAGAGCGATCCTCTCCAGCTGCTCCACTAACTCAAAGGCATCGTCCAGACTCTGGTCTTTGGCTTGTTGAAGGTTGGACATTTCCTTCTCCAGATCCTCCAGCAGACTGGTCTTCTTCTCACTCTCTGCTTTATTCTCTTCAAACTTGGTCTTCATTTCTTCAATGGTCCTTTCCACTGTTCTGCTCTTAGTCACATATCTCCACTTTTCCTTCACATGAGCTTCCACTGGACACTTCCCAGAACAGGAAGTACATTTCCCGTCCTTCATGACGTAACACCAGCTTGGACTCCAGGCCCAGGTGCATCTTGGGTAATGACAGTTCTCTTCACAGTTATTACAGGTGACAGCTTTGTTGTCCCACCAGGCATCTATTTTTTCTTTTTCTTTGTAGGTTTCTTCTATGGAAACTTTAAAGTTTTGGTTCTTCTCCATCTCGTGGTTAAACTGTTCAAGTTGTTTTCTGTTCTTTCTGATTGCTTCCTGTTTCATTTCCGTTTCTTTCATATTTTTAAAAATATGGGTAATATAGTCAAAAGTCATGGTTTGATGTTCACTTTTCGGAGGATCCTTCCCAGTAAGGATTGTGCAGTGACCTGAAGTCCAAAATTCGTGATGCATGTATTGCTGTTGAAGTTTCCTGTCCAGAAGTAATTCATCGACCGACGTGTCAGTCTTTAGACCCTTCGTCTGCTTCAGTTGCGCCATCGCTGAAAGGAATCTCCAAGAATCACCTCAGTTTGACTTCGCTCCGACCTCAAAAACGGACTTTCTTTTGCGGTGAACTGGTCGTGGATTCTTGTCTGCGATCGCTACAAGCTTTGTGCAAACTGCGAGGAAGCTACAGTTCGAAAAAGCCTCTCAGAACCGCTGCGTTGGTCGAGTAAACGGCGTCTTTCGTGTCTGGAATGTGTGACAGCCGAACGTAAGGTTTATCTGGCCTCACTAGATCCACAGTTGATGCATTTTCATTCTTTTTTTTTTTTTGGTCATCATAATTACAAGTCTGCTGCATCTCTATAATGCTATTTTGAGCTTTCACTGACAATTTGAAACAAACAAAAAAAAAAATCCTCCTTAGAACCTTTAAATAAACATCTCGTACCATCAGAATCCTCCTCGTCGTCTTCGTCTGGTGCCGTGGCCCAAAACGGAGCTGGGTTCTTGTTCATTCTCTTCCCCTGTGAACATCAGGGTTGCCAGATTTTCAGAGAGAAGTAAGCAAACAAATAAAAAAATAAAGCCCTTTAATTTGGTTTTCTCACGGTTCTCTTGTATTCCGAGGAGCTGGAGAAGGACAGAGGAAGCCCCATCTTTAACATCAGCTCAGACTCTTCGTCCAAAACATTTTCCTCCTCCGGGTTTGGTTCAGCGTCTGGAGTCTGCTGCTCTTCCTCCTCTGCTTCCTCCTCATCCTCATCCTCTGCGGTCAACAGAAAATACAAAATTAAAGATTATAAACCAAAATTAAAGGTATTAAAAGGTTCTATATTACACAAAATTGTCTCTTCTGAGCTTTAAGTCACGTTATAATGTTATTACGAGATCAGAAAATGGTGTAGTACGGGCCCTTTTAATCAATTTGATATTTCTTCTTCTTTTGTATTTTCTTTTCCAGTTATCACGGGACCTTCTTGCTGTGAGGTGAGGTGCTTAAGCCGCAGTGCTTACCTGGCTGTGGGACGTTCCTGAGAAGTCGATTGTCAGAACGATAAAGCTCACGGTCTCTGGAGGGAAAGTTAAAATAAAACAATGAATATAAACTATATCAGGGTTGTAGAAAATAAGACACGAATTGATACTAAAAATAGAATTGAAACTCGATCCTCGTTTGAACAGATATCGATACGAAAAAAAAAGTCCCATTGAGAGGACAGAGCAAAACCTTTCCCGAATGTGTTAAGACCGATCTTGAGCTGCAAAAGAGCACAACTAAAAGAGCACAGAGACTAGTACACGCTCATGGATCACTACGGAAAATATAATTTTAAACCTTTTTTTTTTTATTTTTGTTTAAGTAGCAGTAGTTTGAGTATAAAGTCCCATGTCCCGGATCGAGGTCGACTAGTGGCCGCTCCAGGTACTGCAGATTCTTTTCTATTTTCACAACATAAACTTTAAAAAATGTTTAAATTTCTTTGTCATACTGAGCCTCACCTCGCTCTAGCAGCTCTCGCTCTGATCTGTCTCTGATTGGTGTAACTGCAGCAGATCTGAACTTACTGCAGACAATGTGGACAAGTTGGTTTTTCTGGCCAAAAATATGAAGACTGAGTAAAAGTTCATCCTGAAACTGTTAGTGCTGCGCTTTCCTTTTTGAAAAGTTTCGTTTACAATTTACAAGGAATTTATTTTTCATAATATTTCATACAATTGTTGCTTATTTGAGAATATTTTATTTAAGTTATTAGTATTACCAAGCAGCACTTTGCATTTATTTTATTTTCCCGTTTGTATAATGTTAAAACAAATTGTTGATTTAATAAACACAAATGGTTTTGTATTTTGTTCCCAAGCTGAACCGAAAATGAACCGAACAATGACCTCAAAACTGAGGAATGTACCAAACTGTGATTTTTGTACCATTACACCTCTTCTACTCCACCCTACTTACTCGAAATCGACTTTGAAATTCTAGTGACACTAAACACACACTAAATTTACTTCATGACCAGGTGTTTAAATCCAAGTCTCACATGACAAAAGCGCGGGAGCAGCGGCAGAGGACGCTCTGGTCTTTGGAGGAGAGTTCACCGCTGAAAAACAAAATGTCTGCCAGAACCGTGGTCCTGCTTCGGTCCAACATCATGTTCACGAAAAACCCAGACTGTGAAGGAAATCTAAAGAGGAAAAAAAGAATAATATTATAATTATAGTTAGAGCAGTTCAATTCTGAGAAAAATCATCATCATGATTATTTTATTCAAACGATTATTTTCTTAGTTACACTATGCATTTATTCAGCATTTCATTTATGCAAAACTTTGAAAAAGAAACTAAAAATAGGCTACAAATATAAACTTCACAGCAGTTTTGTGATGTATAAAACATAAGATGAATAAAATATTCTTCAAACATGAAATAAGGCAGAAAAACAGAAATGTATCCAAAATAAACTATATATCCAACTGTTCTACAATCTCTATATTTAAAAATAAATATACTTAATTATATAAAAAAATATATATCCCAAAATAAACTTTGTTAAGCTTTTTCGTTTCAACAATAAGAGTTTGGAGATCGTTTGACACACAAATTGAAATCACGATCAAAATTCAATTAATGGCACAGCCTTAATTTTACGCACTATTGCTTACGGATGTGCAAAAATATTGAAATATCGATATATCGTATCATTAAATGTGATGATACAGTATCGATATCGTGGGCTGCTGTATCAATAAATCGTCAAGAGTATTTTTTGGGATATTTTACTAAATTATTTTATTACAGCCACAGTTTTGTTGTTTGTTTAGAGCAGGGGTGTCAAACTCATTTTGGTCCGGGGGCTGTATCCAACCAACTCTGATCCAAAGTGTCCGGATCAGAAAACTCATGTCATGTAAACCCCAAAAATAACAATAAGTTCAAATATTTGTGCAGAGAAACACAAATCTATTACAGAAATCTTTTTTAATTGATGAACTCTTTCTGTTACAAAATATTATAATATTATGAACAACCTGAAACTTTAAGAAAAATGTAATTTCAACACAACGTTTTAACATTAACTTGTTTGCAAATAGGAATAAGTCCATTTTTGTTGTAAAATCCTGCACTCGGCTCCACTTTTCTCATGTTGGACATTTTTCTGATGAGGGTGTCACGGTCAACAGTCAAAACGATCGTCCTTTAAGAGCGTTTGGAAAGAGACAAGTCTTCATTTGTGCTGCTCTGGTGGGAGGGGCCACGTACAGAGACGCTGGAAAATTACCAACATTTTAATAGAAAATATAATTAAAATATTTTAATAGGAAATCAGCCGAGGGCCAGATTAAAGCTCTTGGAGGGAACCCCTTGACACCCCTGGTTTAGAGGAAGGAAACTCGTTTATGCGACACATTTGACATTTTCACTGTTTTGAGGATTAAACTGTTTGTGTTTCATATGAACTTTGCACAAGAAGTGGTTTAACAAAGACTTTTAGTGTCACAGCCATGATTAAGACTTTATCGAATCAATTTGAAATATATCGTATCGGATCGAAGTTTCACTGTATCGAGATTTGTATCGTATCGGCAACTTCTTAATGATACCCAGCCCTAATACTGACTTTTGGTGGATCTGAGAGAAGGAGATCACATTCAACATAAAAAAATGTTTAAACTATTTATCTATAAAGCTTATTTATATTCACAATGAATCTACATTATCTGTTTAATGGTAAAACTCTTTTTACAATTTACAGGATATTGTTTCCATGACAGAATGTATTTTGACTTATTTAACGTCACATTAAAACAATCTCTACCCTCAGATTTTGCATAATTTTATATCGTTTATGTTTTTTAAATTGTAAAACTGTATTTAATTAAACGTTTTGTGTTCGTTGTACAGAAAAGAAGCATCTTGAATGACAGTTAGCATTTAAGGATTCTTAGGCTAATAAAAACGCCGTAACAACATATATGATGAAAAACTTACATGTTAATGCATCTTTAATCCAGACGGGGGTTATCCACAGTTCTCTTGCTTTAAAAAAAACCCTCAAAAATCCGTAATAAAATATAAAAACGTGAAAGATTTGTTCAAGCATGCGCGCTGGAAGTCCGCCGCTTTCAGACGTCCCCCCGGAAACAAGGCTTGGTAAATTTTAATATTTATTTAATTTAGCATATTTTTTGTTTTTATTACATTTTTTAGGGTTTACATCATTTATATAGCAATTAAATACATACATTTCTATTAATTTTGCTTTTGATAAAATATATTTTTGTTTGCCTGTCACGTGATCGCAGCCGAACGCGGAAGGACGCCGCCGATAACACATTTGGGTCATAAGTGGCCAATTTTAGTCTGTTAAATTAGCACAAAAACTGTGTAATTCTCCACACTTTATTACTGAATACGTTCTGATTCAATAGTTCCATTTATAATAATCATACCTTAATGATACGACCGCATTTTGAGAAGCTACACTCGTCCTCTAACCGGTGTTTTGTTGTTTACCTCAAGAAAAGCGAATATCTGCACAAGATCTGGTTTGTAACGTCTAATTTGTGTAATATCTTAGTTTTTATTAAGAAATTTAGCGTGTCATATGTTAGATTTGTATTTTAAACGCTTAAATATACGTGTCTTATTTGTCATTGTGGCTTTATGAATTATGATTTATGCCATGATGATGAAATCGGCTTGCAGATCTGTTTATTTTACCTGTTTTTTGTTGTTTTTTCGTTGTCTGTGCATGTCAAGGTGAAATGAAAACACATTATGAGCTAACTGTGAATGGAATATGCAAATTAATTTAAATATTCACTTGTTTACTGTTGAAATTCTAAACCGAACCTAGTTTAAAGGTCATGAGACACAGGACAGAGAGCAGGACATGAGCTGGAGAATCGAATTTTGGACCGGGCCGGATGTTTGACACCTCTGGTTTAGACTTTATTCTTATGTTTATTATTTTAATTCTTTTTCTCTTTTAGACACATGTAGTCGCTCACGCCCTGATGCATTGTGGGTGGCTGTGCTCCTGATGCATTGTGGGCCGCTGAGATGTCCTCCTCTCAGAACCAGTCGTGTGTTTGGGAGTCTGAGGACACGCTCTCACTGCTGGTAAGAAAGAGCCTCTGTCACTGCTGCTGTCGATGTGTCCTTGAGCAAGACACTTTTACCTGTATAATTACTCTTTCTACTCCCACTCTCCTCCCCGTCTCTCTTTCTCTCAGTTATGTTTGCTCCGTTCGTTCGAGTCCTGGGCTGGCCTGGGGCAGACGGAGGATTATCTCTCCGTCCTGGAGTACGTCCTCTGGGTCATCACTCCTCTGGCCGTGGTCTTTATCCTTCCCTTCCTCATCGTCATCCTCCTCTACCTCTCCATCCTCTTCCTCCACGTCTACAAGGTAAACACGCCCCAGTAATCAAAATGGTAAATAAAGAGGAGATGAATTGTAATGAAATCGTCATTATTTTCCCAGAGGAAGAATCAGCTGAGAGAGGCTTACTGCAACAACCTCTGGGACGGAGCGCGGAAAACTCTGGCCACTCTGTGGGACGGACACGGGGCCATCTGGCACGGTCAGAACCTCCTCCGGTTATAAACATACAATTATCATGTATTGTGTTAGACGCTGTATTATAATAACATACAGTATAAAAACGTCATCTCTCCCTGTTGTGTAATTTTATCTCTAATTGTGACGTCACACTTCCTGCTCCGACTGTTGCAGGTTATGAGATCCATGGGATGGAGAAGGTTCCAGACCAGGGCCCCGCGCTCATCGTTTATTATCACGGGGCCATTCCCATCGATTATTATTATTTTCTGGCAAACGTGATTCTGCAGAAGGGGCGCACCTGTCACTCTGTGGCCGACCACTTCCTCTTCAAGATCCCAGGTGCAATTCTACAACGCACACATGCATACACATGCACACATGCATACACATGCACACACATGCACACATGCACACATGCACACATGCATACACATGCACACACACACACATTTACATCAGTCTGCCCAAGGCGACTGTGGCTACAACAGGAGCTGTTTTGAGTTGGTCAGAACAATGCAGGTGCTAGTTCTTGCACCAGTTACACTGGGAACCAAAGTGCTCACTGGCGAACAACCTGCGTTCAAACCATTTAAGTGAAAACTTGAAACACTTAAAAAACAAAACAAGTTTTACTTGGTTCCCATCGAGAACCAACTTTTCAGTTCCTGAACACTTTGATTTTAGGTGTGAACACATCAGTTGGTTCAAGATTAGGTGTGGGAACTGACACTGGCCCAGTTCTCTGTCGGCCTGAAAACTCTAAGAGACTGAATGAATGATGTTCTTATTGTCTTACACACATCACACACATGTACATGTTCACATACAAATGTACATGTCACATACAAATGTACATGTGCACATACACATGTACACATACACACTGTATATTCAGACTGAAGGGCTGCAGTCGCTCACATGTGGAAGATTTCACTCAGAATAAACCTGGTGAAAGACTCTGGTGTAAAACTCTGCCCTTCAGGGCGGGCGGGCGGACGGACTCATTTGTTAAGGAATTCTTTTCAAGACGGAGCTCTTACCAACAGACTGAATGTTTTGAACAATGACAACAGAGAAGCAGCAGCTCAGACAAATAAACCGTGGACCCTGTGTATATTTTTAAAACAATTTAATGTTGTGCTCCAAGTTTTAATCTGTATGTTTTTTGTTTTATCTGTTGAATATGTGTGGTCCAGGTTTTAAGCTGCTGCTGGAGGTGTTCAGTGTGATCCACGGGCCCCAGCAGGAGTGTGTCAGGGCCCTGAGGAGCGGGCACATCCTGGGCATTTCTCCTGGAGGCGTCCGAGAGGCTCTGTTCAGCGACGAGACTTACCCCCTGCACTGGGGCAAGAGGAGGGGCTTTGCCCAGGTCGCCATCGACGCACAAGTGGTAAGAAGACCGGTTTAGACCTGGTGTAGACCTGGTTTAGACTTGGTTTAGATTTGGTTTAGACCTGGGTCAGTCCTAGTTTAGTTCTAATTTAGTCTTGGTTTAGTCCTGGTTTAGTCCTTTTTTAATCCTATTTTAGTCCTGCTTTAGTCCTGGTTTAGTCCTGCCTTAGTCCTGCCTTAATCCTGCTTTAATCCTGGATCACCTTTTTGTTTCTTTCAGCCAATAATTCCAATGTTTACACAAAATGTCAGAGAAGGATTCAGATCTCTGGGAAATCTGCGTGAGTAAAACACTTCATCTCAAAACCTGAACTTGTTTTTGTTTGTTTGTCGTTTGTATTTTTAGTGATGACGACAAAACTAAAATATCTAAAATAAAATGTCTTTCAGGTTTTTTCCGCTGGCTGTACGAGAGGTTCCGATTCCCCGCTGCTCCCATTTACGGAGGGTTTCCTGTCAAATTCCGGACTTTCCTCGGAGACCCGATCCCGTACGACCCCAACGTCAATGCGGCTCAACTGGCAGAAAAAGTGAGTATTTCCAGCAATAATGTAGGCTGAACAAATTTGAGTTATACACAGTTTAAGATAAGATATAATACAAGATATAAATAGTACATTTCCCAACAACTAATACGCAGATCTGTGTATTAGTTGTTGTTTCACTTTGTGGAAACCGTCTGACCTCGCAGCATTAGGATTCGTTCGCTCGACAGTAGGCGGGTACTTTTTTATTTAACCAATCGCAAAAAGTCTGTTGGAGGTCAGTAAGCACAACCAGAATTAATTTAAGTATTTTAAGTGCGCCTTATAGTCTGGAAAATACGGTATGTAGACCTAAAAAACGGCACAACAAGGCGACTAAATGAAATACTGAAACTAGTGTCTGAGTGTATTTGGTGCATATGCATGTCCTACAGAACACCTCATTTTACGTGATCTTTCTGAGAAATAACTCGATCATAAGGGACCTCCTCGGGTTTTGGACCATTTATTGCCCGGGCCAGGCTTCCCCCAGACCGCGCCGGGCTTCGTTACGGTTCAAAGTGTCGGGTGAAAAGTGCGTAAAAGACGAAAGAGCATCCGCCTCGTGCACCGTGGACAGTGTTGGGAAGGTGACTTTTAAAAATGTATTCCCCTACAGATTACAGATTACACACAACAAAACGTAGTTTGTAACGTAATCCATTAAATTACTTAAGGTGAGTAATGTAATCTGAATACTTTGGATTACTTGATTTGCTGTAGAGAAGCAAAGACTCGTATATTTTAGAAGAAGTATTTTAAGAAGTTTTGTCTGATAAAAGAAATAAAAAGCCCAGACTTTACTGAACCAAATTAAAAAAATATTATTGATAAAAGAAGAGGAAACACGTCCACACAACATGATTTAGTCCTGTTAAATCCTGGTTTAGTCCTCGTTTTAGACCTGTTTTAGACCTGGTTTAGATTTAGTTTAGATCAAGTTTAGACCTGGTTTTTGTCCTGGTCGAGACCTGGTTTAGACCCAGTTTAGACCTGATTTAGATCTAGTTTAGACCTGGTTTTAGTCCTGGTTTAGATCTAGTTTAGTCCTGGTTTAGATCTAGTTTAGACCTGGTTTTAGTCCTGGTTTAGACCTAGTTTAGTCCTGGTTTAGATCTAGTTTAGACCTGGTTTACTTTCCGGCAATGTGTGGAATTACCGAAGAAAAAAAAAAAAAGGGGGAATATAGTCCAAAATGTGAAAACAGGAATATATCGCTGTGTAATCCAATTATTTCAACAAAGTAACTGTAACCGAATACAGTTACTCCTAATTTGTACTCTGATTACATAACTCCGGTACATGTAATCTGTTACTCCCCGACACTGACCGTGGAGCTCTTAAAATAAGCGGACAGGACGTGTAAAATGTCCCGGTGTGTGTTGGTCTTGGCCCTCGTCCTCGTGCTGAGCGGAGGACACAGCAGGAGGACGAGGTTTGTGTCGTTTTATAATCGCGTTTGTCGTTTTATAATCGCGCTTGTCGTTTTATAATCGCGCTTGTCGTTTTATAATCGCGTTTGTCGTGTTTTGATGGTGTCGTGTTGTTCAGGTGCAGAGGGCGGTCCAGGCTCTGATCGATGAACACCAGCAGATCCCCGGCAGCATCCTCCGAGCCCTGCTGGAGAGACTCTACACCAGACACAAACCCACGGGTCTGCCCAAGAAGAAGAACTGAACCAGGACTAAACCAGGACTGAACCAGGACTGAACCAGGACTGAACCAGGACTAAACCAGAACTAAACCAAGATTAAACCAGGATTAACCCATTGACGCCAGATGCTGTGGAGCGCAGCGCTGAGTCTCCTGTCGGTGTTCTGGATTGTCTGGTGATCAGCGTAACTGGTAAAGGCGGAGCCACATCTGGAAGGATGGGGGGCGTGTCCTCCTCTCGCTTCCATTCACTCCCATAGAGACGCAAAACTGCTGGAGCTGTATTGTCGCGTTAAATCTTCTTTATCGTGGCATATTATTTCTCCATTGAAAAATAATCCAAATGTGTCCCACACAGGTTCCCATCAAGACCTGGTTTGAAGTAACAAACGTTGCTCTTTACTGCAGCGCATGAACGCAGCTCAACCACTTGATCTGGTCGCTGTTCCAGACGCTCCTATAACAGGTGCCATATCACTGTGTCGTGTAACAAATAAACATGATCAAACACAAAAATGCTGACACTGACAATGACAGTGAAGACACGGACAACATTTGTGTTTGACGCGACAGTACAGCTCCAGCAGTTTTGCGTCTCTATGGGAGTGAATGGAAGCTAGAGGAGGACACGCCCCCCATGCTTCCAGATGTGGCTCCGCCTTTACCAGTTACGCTGATCACCAGACAATCCAGAACACCGACAGGAGACTCAGCGCTGCGCTCCACAGCATCTGGCGTCAATGGGTTAAACCAGGACTAAAGCAGGACTAAAGCAGGACTGAACCAGGACTAAACCAGGACTAAATCGCGACTAAAGGAGGTCTAAATCAGCATTAAACCAGGACTAAACCAGGACTGAACCACAACTAAACCAGGACTGAACCAGGACTGAAGCAGGACTAAACCAGGACTGAACCAGGACGAAAGCAGGACTAAACCAGAACTAAACCAAGATTAAACCAGGATTAAACCAGGACTAAAGCACATTTAAACCAGGAATAAACCAGGTCTGAACATCTCTGTGGACCAATACACTGTCCGTGTGCTGCTGCTGCCACAGGACTCGTTTTTTTTTTTTTATTACATGTGTCGTTTTGTTGAATTTATTGAAACTGTCCGTGGATAAAAATACATGTTACATCATCAGCAGCACAAATCCATATCTACTTTTAAAGATGCACTGTGTAACTTTTCTGGAGAGACATAAGACATAAAAACGAATCTGTCTGACGTTTATTCAACTTCAGGTGTTATTTATCGCTCCAAAATATCTTCAAAACCTCCATTCTCACCGTGAAAGTTCCACAGTGCACCTTTTAAAACATCCGAAACTCAGAATATCGATCTAAATTTGATGATTCTTGAACAAAATGAACCGTATCTTCTCACTGTAACTCTGTTTATTACCTCAAAGTTCAACAGCTCCACCAGTGATCTTAGTCAAATGTTAAAGAGGAGAGTCGCCACGTTTACATGACACATTTAATTCTGAATAAAAATAATTTAATTCCGGAATAAAAATGAATTCTGCTTTAAAAAGACCATGTAAACACTAAATTTCCGAAGTAAGTGGGTGATTTATTCCGATTTTAAAGCCGAATTAATTCTCGATCGATGTAAACGTTTATTCTTCTTCAAAAAATAATTCTGGTCGTTCAGCGCACGATCCGGCTCCACCAGTCCTGGCTTTGGACTTTCCTCCACAGATTTATAAAAACATTGATATATTTGTGCCAAAATAAAACAAAATACAAAATAAATGTAAAAAATGACAAAGACGAGCTTGATTTAGTCCCAAGCAGCCGTGGTCTTGGTCTTGTCTCGGTCTCAGGACCCTGTGGTCTTGATCCTGTCTCGGTCTCGGTCTTTAAAAGTCTCAGTCTCATTTCGGCCTTTAAAAGTCTCGGTCTTGTCTCGGTCTTTAAAAGTCTCGGTCTTGTCTCGGTCTCGGTCTTTAAAAGTCTCGGTCTGGTCTCGGTCTTTAAAAGTCTCGGTCTTGTCTCGGTCTCGGCCTTTAAAAGTCTCGGTCTTGTCTCGGTCTCGGCCTTTAAAAGTCTCGGTCTTGTCTCGGTCTTTAAAAGTCTCGGTCTTGTCTCAGTCTCGGTCTTTAAAAGTCTCGATCTTGTCTCGGTCTCGGCCTTTAAAAGTCTCGGTCTTGTCTTGGTCTCGGCCTTTAAAAGTCTCGGTCTTGTCTCGGTCTCGGTCTTTAAAAGTCTCGGTCTAGTCTCGGTCTTTAAAAGTCTCGGTCTTGTCTCGGTCTGGGCCTTTAAAAGTCTCGGTCTGGTCTCGGTCTGGACTCTGAGAGGTCTCGGTCTTGACCACAACACTAGTAAATCCTTACAAATTAAATAAAGACGATTTAACGAGTTTTCCGTGTAAACCTCAATTCAGAATCATTATTTCCACGTAAACTCGAAAGAGAATATTTTAATTCCGAACTCTTTAATTCAGAATGAAAAACATCATGTAAACGTGGCGAGTTTTTTTACTTTAAACGTTCACTTAAAGGAGACATATTCTGCAGAATGGTCGGAGCAGCTGTTTGTTTCTCATTCACTCACCTGAACTTGTGTTTGGACTGATTCATGTTTGACGAATCTTTAATCGCTCATTTTTATTTTCAAGACGCCTTTTTTCCGATCAGCTCCAGCCGTCATTTTGGTCCAAATGTTAAAAAAAAAATCTCTAATTTTTTCTAAAATTTATTTATATAGAACATTTTATAAACATGACAGACAAATTAATACAACAAAAGAGAGTAAATCATAAATAAAAACAATAAATAAAAAGCGTTAAAATGCATACAGCGAAAAATGAAAAAATAAAGAAATAAATCCAATCTAACTTTATTTGTGCGGCACATTTTACCCACACAGAGTCTCCAAAGTGCTGCGCAATATAAATTAACACATTCATTAAAATAAAGCATCAAATAAATAAATAAGCAAGTCGATAAAAAACATAAAAAACACTAAAATAAACAAATAGAAAAGTCTCGTTTAAGTCTCGTCTTAGGAGCTGGAGCTGGACCTCGGACGTCAGAAAGCACACGCAGCTCCCGTCGGACGCTACGGTTTTCGAACGCGGAAATCGGCGAATTTTTGTTTCTTGTATTAAATCGTTTTAGATCAATATTGTGATTTAAAACGTCCAAATGATCACAGAACGATCCACAGAGGTCAGAGTTTATAACTATCGAGCACAAACGGCACGATATGTCTTCTTTATTTAACTACTGAAACTGTTCTACGCTACCAAATCTGAAGAAAAGTCTGAAGGTGCTGGTGCAATACTTAAAGCTGCACTGTGTGACTTTTTGGTTCGTTGCTCTGTCTGGAATGTTCCGCAGTGTGACATTAAACAGATCTACTTTACGTTTATTCAATCACAGGTGGTTTTAAAACTCAAAAACACCTCGAAAAACAAACATTCTGACTGTGAGCGGCGTCGCCTCTCCACAGATTTGACCTGTAACTCGATCCGGTTTGGTCTCTATGAAAACTAAAGCTTTAATGCCAGACTGTGGAACATTCCAGACGAAGCAATAACATCTCCAAGGAGAATTTAAGAAGCTTTCGACTAGAAAAGTTACACAATTTAAACCTCAAACGAGACATTTACAGACACGTTTTAACACAGTTCTGATGGTTTTTCAAAATTTAACTGATTATTGTTTTTAAAATAAAAAAAAAATAAAAAAAATAATAAAATAAAATATAATGTTAAAGACGCTGTTACTGATTTTTTTTATTTATTTATAAAATTTTTTTGTCTTAAAATCGTGAAACAAAAAACAAAAATGAGTTCATTTAAAACAGTCGACTTTTCTGGTGGAGGGTCCGTCACCCGTCTGGAATGTTCCGCAGTGTGACATTAAACAGCTGTACTTTACATTACTGATCCAAAATACCTAGAAAAACAGACGGTTCTGACCACAGATCTGACCTGTAACACCGAGTCGAAGTGGTGGACCCTCTACTGAAAAAGTTACACAATACGCCTTTAAAAACACTTAATAATTAAACGCAGGCAGTTCACAAAGGACTTATTTGGATTATTCTACTCAAAAAAAAAAAAAAGAAAAACGTGGAAAAATCAGGTACTGGCCCTTTAAGACTTTTGCGTTCATCTTGTAAATATGCCGTTACTGATTTTGTACAGTTGTATTTCCGTCCAATGAAACGTTTGAAATTTGGCGTAAACACGTAAAACAGTAAATACGTGTAAAAGTGCAAAGTGTCACAAAACATTCTGACGTCGTTTCGCAGGTCGATCGTTTTGGCGATTCAGAACGTACAGAAACAGATCACGATTTTATGTTAATCCGTGTGTCGTTCGTTCGTTTTTCAAAATAAAACCAAAAATAAGAAAACGAAAAAAACAAAACAAAAACAAAAAAAACGATTTTCTTCATTATTTGTCGCCAAAACTAAAAAGAAAAAACAGATAATGATTTGTTTTTTTTTTTTCACTTTTTGATTTTGGGTTTAAACGAAAAATGGAAAAAACGGATAATTGACTAAACCAGGACTAAACCAGGACTAAACCAGGTCTAAACCAGGACTAAACCAGGACTAAAACCGGACTGAACCAGGACTAAAGCAGGACTAAACCAGGTCCCGGTCTCAGTCCCGGTCTCAGTCTCGGTCTCATTTCTGGTCTTGGTCCCGGTCTCACTTCCGGTCCTGGCCCCGGCCCCGGCCCCGGCCCCGGCCCGGTCCCGGCCCCGGTCCCGGCCTCGGTCTCAGTCCTGTCAAGTCAAATGTTTTGGACTCTGTAGATTTGATGTTATATATTTATTTATTTCAAAGGATCTTATATTTAATAATGATGTAAACTGTGAAAAAACTATTTTTGGAAGTGTAAAAAATGTTAAAGATCTATTTTTTGGTGTAGCTGGAGTTGTGTTTTGACCTGAAAACCCTCTGTTCCACGGCGTGATGTCATTAGGGGGTCATTTTGGTCGTCAAAAGTATCAAAAATCAGACACTATCATTTAAAAAGTACCACAGTTTAATGTTGAAAATCACATTCTGTTGTCTAAATAAAGAGTGTTTTTTATTCTCATTGTGGTTACGGAATTTGTATTGAGTTCCAGAAGTGCTCCTCTGTGTTTTT